GAGCTTTGGAATCCATTAAGATGCTGGGATGTTGGAGCCAGGAGGTGGAGTAGCCTTAATCTCAAAATCGCAAATACCCTCAACTCCGAAACACCTGAGTGTGCATATGAAACAGAAGTGATTTTTGTTGTTGTTTACACTTGGGGTCTGTTCCCCAGATATCTCACTCGAATGTTACATTCCCAGCTTTTTTTTTTTTTTTTTTTAAGATTTATTTATTATGTATACAGTGTTCTGCCTGCATATATGGCTGCAGGCCAGAAGAGGGCACCAGATCTCATTACGGATGGTTGTGAGCCACCATGTGGTTGCTGGGAATTGAACTCAGGACCTCTAGAAGAACAGCCAGTGCTCTTAACCGCTGAGCCATCTCCAGCCCAATTCCCAGCTTTTTTTGTTTTGTTTTGTTTTTGTTTTTTTTTTGTTTTTTTTTTTTTTTTTTTTTTTTTTTTTTGAGACAGGGTTTCTCTGTGTAGCTTTGCGCCTTTCCTGGAGCTCACTTGGTAGCCCAGGCTGGCCTCGAACTCACAGAGATCCGCCTGGCTCTGCCTCCCGAGTGCTGGGATTAAAGGCGTGCGCCACCAACGCCCGGCAATTCCCAGCTTTTTAAAACAACTTTAAAACAATTTTATAATTAATTGATTGTGCTTGGGATTAAACCAGGGCTTTGCATAGTCACAAGCATTTTGGATGAGGGATACTGTTGGTAGCGAGTAGAAAGCTGTCTAAAGGTAACAAACCAGCTCATCTGTGCTTGCACTGTAATTTCCCATTCAAGTACTAACCAGGCTGACCCTGCTTAACTTCTGTGGTTTCCCGATTAGTGATGTTCAACCCATGTTGACACGTGGAAAGAAGTGAAAACTCCTGAGGCTGCCTCTTCTTGTAGTCCCTCCATCTCCCAGGACCTGCAGTGATGTCCGAGTTCCGTGTCTTCCAGACAGAGCATTTGACTGTCTGCGCTCCGATCTCCTTTCCTTTTCTGTTTTGGTGGGGTAGGGGTGGAGATCTGAGATGGTGTTTCAGCCCCCCAGGGCCAGTGTCCAACCCAGTCACATACTCCTTCTGGTATTTGGGACCTCATTTCTCTGGGCCACGTGGCTTGTCCCTCCTTCCAGGGTGTACACACACACTCTGAGCTCCTTGTCATTAGACCTGGCTGGCTGTGTGGTCCCCCCTTTCATCAGATGGGCTGGAGATGCATGTGGCTCTGGGTACAGGGCTGTGCAGAGGCATCCATGGTCCTTTCTGTCTACCTGGAAAGATGTCCTCTGACCATGCCAAATTGTCTCCAACAAGAGGATGTTGTATTTTGGGAGCCAGAGGGAGCCAGGTTCAGGTATCTCATACAGGGCTTTGGGTTTGAACCCTTCCTCCTGAGGTAAGGGTTCGAGGCTGGTCTCCAACTCATTCTAATGTCACTGAAGATGACCGTGAACTTCCGGTCTTCTTCTGTTTCCACATCTCAAGTGCTGGGATGATAGGCATGCACCACTGCTCCCAGCTAACACAGCACTGGGACTCAAACCCAGGGCCTCATACATGCCAGGCAAGCATGCTAGCAGCTGAGCTACATCCCCAGTCCCCTTCTTCCATCTCAAAACATACACAACAGAGTCAGGAAGCCCTGCCTGCTTGGTGTGAACACAGCCAGGCCTCAGGCTCTGGACCTTGTATAGGTGGAGGCAGGCATGAGTTGATTCTTCATCTCTTTGGTTCTAAGCCATGAGAAACCTGTGGAATTTAAGCGTAAGGGACTCAGAAAAGCAGAGAAAATGGAGCATGCATGTCTGTTGGTATGCGAAGGTCTCTGTGGCAGCTGCTGCATTGAGCTACAGGCTGTACTGGAAGCCAGAGAAAAAGGCCTCTTGGGATCATGGCTTTTAACTAGTATTGAAATTACAGACATAGGCAACCTGCACCAGTCTAGTGTGTGTGTGTGTGTGGGGGGGGGGTATGTACATGTATATGGATCCACTTGTGCACTCAGAGGAGGACATTGACATGGTGTGTCCAGATCTGCCCCTGTCCTTATTCCTTTGAGGTAGTCTCTCACTGAATCTGGAGCTAGGCTGGCAGCCACCAATTCCCATCGGTCACCCTCCCCACCCCCAGTCACTGGGGTTACAGGTGTGTATAGCCATGCCCATTTTGTGTATGTTCTGGGGATTTGAACTGATGGGTTACCTACTGAGCCAAGCTCCCACACCAGTCCATTTTTGAGCCCCATGATTTCACTCCTTTGTGCGTGTCTATCATGTGGGTCTGCCAGAAGAGAATGTAACATGGGGAACGTGAGAGGAACCTGAGGCTGAGGCCCTGAGTGTCAGTGAGTGTGAACAGTCAGCCTCACCTGTGCACAGGCCTCTTGCACACGTGTAGCTCTGGAAAACTGTAGGATGAAATTGCCAGTGAAATGAACGGTTTAGGGCTTGGGCTCTGTTGTTTGATAAGAACACTCACCGAGGGTGTGCAGTGTCCTGGGTTCAATCCACAGTACTATGAAAGAAAAATAAGAAAAAAGAGGGCAGTTTTTATCCATTTAGCCTTTCTTAGTTGCTGTGGTCTTGCCGTGGTAGATTTGTATTGTGGTTTTCTTGCAGTGTTAGAGCTCAGATCTGGTCTCTGTGCTAGGCAAGTGCTCAGCCACTTAGCAGTGTTCCCAGCCCAGCTGCGGCAGAGTGGTTTTTTGTTTTGTCTTGTTTTGTTTTTTTTTTTTTAAACCTTTCATTTTACACATGAGTGTTTTGCTTGTGTGTACACTCATGTGTGCCTGGTTCCAGTAAAACCTAGAAGTCAATTCTTGGGGCTGGAGTTACAGATCATTGTGAGCTGTCATGTGGGTACTGGGAATTAAACCCAGGTCCTCTGGAAGAGCAGCCAGTGCTCTTAATTGCTGAGCCATGTCTCTAGTACCCGTGGCAAGTTTTTACTCACAGAGAGCACTCTGCAGCTGGTGAGCTCGGGGTGGGGTGGGGGCATAACACATATGCAAATGATTGTATTAAATATATATACATCTGGCCAGGTGGCGGTGGCACACACCTTTAATCCCAGCACTCAGGAGGCAGAGCCAGGTGGATCTCTGTGAGTTTGAGGCTAGCCTGGCCTACAGAGCGAGATCCAGGACAAGCACCTAAACTACACAGAGAAACCCTGTCTTGAAAAAAACAAAAACAAAAAAAAATATGTGTGTGTGTGTGTGTGTGTGTGTGTATGCGCGCGCGCGTGCGCGCGCACACACACACACACACACACAGCCAACCTTTAACATTTGTGAGGGATAGATTCTGTGACCCAGAATGTGTAGCTAATATGAAGTAACAGATTGTGGTGTGTCTGGTCTTCCCCAGGTTACCCCTCTACCTGGCCTCACTGTTCATCAGCCTTGTTTTCCTGCTGGTGAATCTGACCTGTGCTGTGCTGGTGAAGACAGGAACCTGGGAGAGGAAGGTCATCGTCTCTGTGAGAGTGGCCATCAATGACACACTCTTCGTGCTGTGTGCCATCTCTCTCTCCATCTGCCTCTACAAAATCTCCAAGATGTCCCTGGCCAACATCTACCTGGAGTCAAAGGTAACGTGGGAATGGGGTCGAATTCCTTACCCTGAAAATGGCTTCCTGGTTTGCACTTAGGACACAGCAGGTCTTGCTCACCCTGTGGCTCACTGAACTTCGTGTGAACTTTATTTCTGGGTGACTTAGCATATGCTAGGTAGTGAAGTCTCTGGGAAAGTTCAGTCTGGTTCAGAACGACATGTGTTTAACTGTTGACTTATTTTTGTGGCACTGGAGATCAAAGCCAAGGCCCATGCATGCTAGGCAAGCATCAACCACTGAGTTGTAGCCCTGCACATTGGAAAAATTTTTATTTGGAGACAAGGTCTTTGTAAGTTGCCCAGGCTGGCTTTGAATTCAGCACAGGCTAGCCTCAAACTCGTGATCCTCCCACCTTAGGCTTCTGAGTCGTTAGGATTAGAGGAATGTGCCATTAGGCCTGGCGGAACCACATCTTATCTGTCTAGTAGGATAGCTGTACAAACAACACTAATAGCAAGCATGTGTCCAGTGTTGACTATGTTCCTGGCCCCTTGATAAACACCTTTTTGGGAGAGGGTAATGGAATCAAACTCAGAGCCTCTTGTGTGTTAGGCAACATCTGTACCACTCAGCTCTATTCCCCAGCCTTTAAAAAACAAATCATTTTAGGACAGGGTCTCACCATGTTGCCTAGGCTGGCCTTGAACTCGGGCTGGACTTAACTTGTGATCCTCCTACTTCAGCTACCACCGCTGTAGCTGGGATTATGGGCTGACACCTCCAGGCCCGACTTGAGCATTTTTAGTGCCTGAGCTAATGTCAGCCTCCCATCTCCATGGGAGTGGGTAGTGTGTTAAATCCCCACGTAATGGATAAGGAAACAGCCATGCCCAGAGAGGTCAGGAAGCTTGTCCTAGGTCAGGGAGTGAGGGCCAGGGCTCATGGCCTTCCAATACCTGTTGTGTCTCTGTGGTGACCCAGATTCAGCCTCTCCTTGTTGGTAGGAATGTTCCCAGCCCTTGGTCCTGGATAGCCAGGGGCCTGGCCCCTCACCTCCATCCTTACCCTCATCACTCCTGTGGCCTGGCCCTGTCATTGTGAAGAGATTGTGATTACTCCAGAGCCTGCTGCCCTGTGACAGACCTGCTATTGCCTTCCTCTGGGACTTTGGCCTGAAGACTGCAAGGCAGCTGGGCTCCTGCCGTGTTGTCTTGAGAATTGGTCAGGAGATGAAAATCTGTCTCCAGCTCTCACAGGGCACCCAGTGATTCAGCTGGATTCATGAAAACCCTACACCTTAGCTGGGCCAGTTCTTTCATTTGTAAATTTTGATGAATTTTACACTTAATTTTTGCCATAAAGGTTATTATCTTACCTCTAATACATGAGTTATGAGTAAAATTTTGTGAAATAAAAGTGTAGCTTTTAAAAGGAAGGATTAAATCATAGACTGTCAGATATTAGCTGACCCCTGTGACAATATGGATGATACTTTGATTTAGTTAATGACTCCTCCGCACAGGACGCAAGTCAGCTCCGCTTTCCTTTGGTTCTGTTAGCTAGCTGGGGAGTCCTTTAACTGTCTGCAGAAACTGATAAAGCTTCATAAAGAGGGATAAGCCGCAGATACTCAAGTGACCCCATCCCAGAGACCAAGCAGGAGTCCTGTGCTCCCATCCTAGAAGGTTCTAGACTTTGAACAAGGCTGTATGCATCCTGACTAGGGCTTGCGGGCTGTACGAGGCAATCAGCCAGGATCTTGTTACTGAACAGTGGGACTTAAGAGATCTCATGAGCCTTTTGACATTCTGGCTCTTAAGATCGCGGCCTTGTAGGCCGGGGCAGTGCCTCAGCCAGTAAGGTACAAACACAAGGGACTGGCTCCGATCCCGCCAGAAGCCGCATTAGGACCGGAGCGCAACATCATGTGCTCGTGATGCCAGTGCTCAGCAGAGGAGACAGGAGGATCAGCAAGCTCCAGGGACAGTGAGACCCTTTCTCAGAAACAGGGTAGAGTGCGATCGAGGAAGACACTATGAGACACACGTACACCCAAAGGCCTCGGGGAAAGGCCCGTAGTTAATCCTCTTAGCGGCATCTTCCCAGTCTCCAGTTTTAGGTGGAGGTAACGGAAATCTGAGAGGAAAGGGTGCAGATGTAGCAAGGCCTGGAGTGCAGTGCTCTGGCAGAACTGGCCACCCGCCAAGGCTCTCAGTTATCAAGGCTTCCTGGGTGAGAGCAGGGGAAGGAAGGGGCTGGTGCATCTGCAGTGGCCCATCCCTGTCGCTTTGTCTTCCAGGGTTCATCGGTGTGTCAGGTGACTGCCATCGGCGTCACCGTCATCTTGCTCTACGCTTCGAGGGCCTGCTACAACCTGTTCATCTTGTCATTTTCTCAGATCAAGAATGTCCACTCCTTTGATTATGACTGGTACAATGTATCAGACCAGGTCAGTGGGGCATGGCAAGGTGCTGTGGGATGTGGTGAGGTGCTGTCTCGGGGGGACCAGGTCAGTGGGGCATGACAAGGTGCTGCCTGCATCCCACATCAGTGGGATGTGGTGAGGTACTGTCTCAGGGGGACCAGGTCAGTGGGGACCAGGTTAGTAGGACGCAGTGAGTGCTGCCTGCTGGAAGGCCAGACTCCCTGTTTCTGCTGGTGTACAGTGCTGGGTGTACAGAAGGAAACAAATATCTTCCCTACCCCATGGGAGTTGATGGGTCACTGATGTGCAGACACAGATAAACCTGTGTTGTGGAGAAGTGAACCCCTCTAATAAGACTCTATTGGATTGCTTTGCAATACTCCTTAGTGTTATCTAGAACAACAGCAAGTACCCCAAAGTGTGTAAGTCCAGGTATAAAAATCCTACCAGTGCTCACAGCTGGAACTGATTTAAGACAGTGAGATAAAAATAAAATGACCTCAGTGAGCTAAATCTACGATGGCTAGATCCCTGGGAAAGATGAAACCATGGCTGTAACCTAGTAACCCTGGCCAAGCCTGCCCGACAGGTGCAGCAGGGAGAAAGCTGGGCAAGGATGCTCAGGTCCTTGTGCCGTTTGAGAAAAACCAGACATGAGGTCCCTAGACCACCCTACACAGTGGAAGATTATAGAGATAGATGTTCATCATACACATAAGGGTTTTCATGAGCAGACCAGTAGCATCAGTACGTACACGTTCAAACCATCACTACTGCTCTTGACCTGTTCATCTTTCCAAACTGAAGCTTCATCAAGCAACAGATTTGGTCTTAACAAGTTACTTCCATTTTCTTTCCATCAAGAACTTAAAACCTTCATGTTTGGGGTGTGATGGTTTTGAAATGCTTGTTTTTGTTGTTTCAAGCATCTATGCCTTCTTGGGGAAAGGCAGATAGCACTGGGCTGGGCTGTGGTGGTCTAGGAAGAGGAGGAGACATGAGTGCCATCCCCCTGGGAAAGAGCGAGGCAGCTTCCAGCACGATGAGCTAGAGAAGGCTTGAGGACCAGGCTGTGGCTCAGTGTTAGCTTCCCTGAAATGGGCTGAGAAGCTGCCACATCTGGTGTCTCTCTACTCTGGGACCTTCTCTCCATGAAACCTCCATGGCCCTCCCCTTGGGCATTGCCTTGCTCAGAGGACTCTTCCTGGACAAACTGCCTGTGGTCAGCTCTCATGGAGAGCAGGGTGTGGCTGTTGTGATAGGACTCTGCACAGACAAGCTGCTGTCCATTAGGAGGAGTCTGGGCTGGGGTGTGGGCTCTGGGTTCATCCCCTGAACTGCAAAAGTGAGTGAGTGGCCCGTCGTAAATATCCATCCATAATGGTTTCCACCGTCCTCCAGCTGAGGGAGGCCTGACCCATCACTGTGACCAGGTTTCACAGTGTAGGCTTTTGGGGGAGCACTTCACTGTAGCTAGGAGTGTCCTCTGCTCTGTGCCCTCCATCACTGGTTGCCTGAGGTCTCAGGACTTCATTTTCCCCGCTCTGGAACAGGCAGATCTGAAGAGCCAGCTGGGCGATGCGGGCTATGTAGTGTTCGGCGTGGTGCTTTTCGTGTGGGAGCTCTTACCCACCACCTTGGTGGTGTACTTCTTCCGAGTCAGAAATCCCACGAAGGACCTTGTAAGTACCCACTGTCTGTTTGCTGGCATCCCTAATCCTCCCGAAACTGGCAATTAGGATTTTCCTCCCAGCTTTTCAGTGAAGCTTCTTGGATTCCATTGTCAGGTAGGTCATCCATCACCCTTTCAACTAGAATCTTCTTTCCCCTTAGTTCTCTTAAATGTGTTTGGGGGTTTAGCTTTATTTTACAAAAGAAATGAAAGTTAAGGTACATCTCATGGCCCGGGGACTAGTGATTCCTAATGCCACACAGTATTTAGTGTCCTCCAAACACATATATGCTGCCCTTTTAGCAGAAGATGGAGGGCTAGAGATACGGCAGTTGGTAGAGTGCTTGCCTAACATGCATGAAGCCCTGGGTTTGCTCCTCAGTACCACAAAAAACCAGGCATGTAATCCTAGCACTGGGGAGATAGAAGCAAGAGGATCAGAGGTTCATTCATCCTTAGCTACATAGTGAGTTCAAGACCAGCCTGAGCTACATGATACCTCATTTGAAAAAGACTGTTAAAAAAAAAAAAAAAAAAAAAAAAGCAAGATGGGGACTCACTTTATCCCCAGAGTGACAATGGCTCATCAGAGAGTGGGAGAGCAGTGCAGTGGCATCAGAATGATGCTAAAGCCACCCACTTGTGTTTGGCCACATCGGCTGAACCAACCCTATAGAAGAGAAAACCAAGTCAAGTTCAGAATCCCCTGGAAGCCTTGCTGCACCGTACAAGCTAGAGTACAGCTTTGCTTTCCTGAGCCACACACTCAGGAGCGGGGCCAGTGTGAGCAGTGACGGAGGCACAGAGTGGTGCTCATAGACACGGCACAGCTCCTGCTCCATACCCGGGTCACAACGGCCTGCTGCTCTTTCCCCTACTCACCTCTGGGTGGTCACTGCTGACCCAGGCACAGGAAACAGACCAGGGTGAGGTGCGAGATGAAGTACAACGTGGCTGTGCCTTCCCTGCCAGGACGGACTTCAGCCATGTCTATCTGCATTTTTTGAGAATGTGGTTTGGGGCAAAAGGATGAAAGGATCGAGGGAGGGTCCTGAAGGAGGAAACTCCCGGGAGCCTGTGTGATTATACAGGTGTGTCTCCACATGGACTGTCTGCTTTAGTTTGGGGGACTCTTGTTTTGAGATGATCCTGCTGGAGAACACAGGCTGGCCTTGAGATAAAACCTTTCGCCTCAGCCTTCCAAGTGCTAGGATTATAAGCATGAATGACCATGCCTGGCTATTTTGACACATAAGTGAGAAATGAAAACAGTGATTTATTATTGGAAATACGAGCTATGGATTTCGTTGTGATGTTTATATAGGCATATATTTTGTTCATCTTTTCCCCCAGTGACCCTCTCTCCCTCCCACTGACCTCCTTTGTCTCACCAACTAGTCTGTCCTCTTCCTACTTTCAGGTCCTTTTTTTACACACTGCCTATAGATCCTTAAAGAAAACAGCCCCTCCCTCCTCCATGCTGTATTTTGGGGACTGAGGATGGTAGCTCAATTGGTAGAGTGCTTGCCTAGCATGTAGGGAACCGTGGGTTCAATTCCTAGCACCCGAGAGGTAGCAGGAGGAAAAAAATCAAAAATTCAAGGTCATCTTTGGCTATTAAGGTTGAGGCTAGCCTGGGATACACGAGACCTGTTTTCTGTTTTAAAACAAACAGAAAAAGCAAGCACAGCACATTGAACACTCTAGCTAATGACAGTACTTCCTCATGCTAGCAGGCAGTTGTCTGCACAGATGCTAAATGACAACATCTTCTTCTAGACCAACCCTGGGATGGTTCCCAGCCATGGATTCAGTCCCAGATCTTATTTCTTTGACAACCCCCGAAGATACGACAGTGATGATGATCTTGCCTGGAACGTTGCTCCTCAGGGACTTCAGGGAAGGTAAGAGCCTGTTCCTGTTGGAGAGTGCTAGGCCACTGGAACAAATTGAACTGGAAGACTACCCTGCATAGAGCTGTCCTGCAGGGTCAGGTTCACCGTGGGATGTAGCCAGGTGTGGGAGAAAACAAACGCTCTTTAAAAGATTCCCTCCTGCAGCATTTTTCCTAGTCAGTATTCCATGGAATGCTTAATAGTTGTGCTGATTTTCAAGAAGTCAACCTTATAAGACTTCTCCGAGCCTACCCAGAGAGAGCCAGGGCATTTGCTGCTGGAATCACTCAGTGGAACATGACCTGGGACATCCAGTCAGACATCTCAGATCCTCTTCTAAAGCCAGAGAATACATAATAAATCACTAGAGTGATTATGTAATAAGAACCAGAATTTGAAATTTGTGATTCTTAAATAGTTATTTACTAAGGTATTCACAAATGTCACCTCATTCAGTGTTTGCTACAGCCCTGTGAGTTCAGTATAATTGAGTTCTCATGGTTCAAGACCTGTCCGTGGGATTCCCTTTGCTGGGTAAGCAGTGTGGCTGGCCTTGGTGCACACTCAGTGCCAGAGCACATGGGGACTGCCCTCTTTTCTTGAAAATTCACTATAGCAGACTGGGCTCAGTCTATTTTGGGGGTGGGCACTTACACATGGTAGCATTCACAATGGTGTGTGCGCTCAAGACAGTAAACTAAGCTGGACCTGGCTGCCTTCCATGAGTTCCAGAGTCCTAGGAGATAACAGCTAGGAGAAGGAGGACGAGAAGCACCTGCTTGCCAGGGCCAGGAACCCCTTCATGGCCTTGGTTCCTCTTCTCCCTGTGCACCCAATCTGCCCAGTGCTCAAAAAGCTGTGCTTGCTTTTCACTCTGTATAACTAAGGCCTTGGAAATGGGAAAAGGGCTCTGAAAGGACCTTGGTTTGAGATACAGAGCTGAAGCAGAACACATTATATCACATAAAAACCAAAAACAAGGTAGCTGTTCGGGAAAAACACAGAGCAGCCATGTGTAAAGTACAGACTCTGGAAGCAAGCCAACTACAAAGATTTCTCAAGGTCAAAAGTTACCCTCCCAGAGTTTGAGCTCCATTCTTCCTAAAATAGTTCTCTTATCTAGCTACCCTGCTGGAGCATCCCTAACCATTACTTGCCAATAGTTACCAAGAGCAGAGAGGGGAGTATTTCACCCTATACACAGAGCGAGAAAAGACCCTTTTCCATGAGAGAGGCAAATAAAAACAGTATTTTGAGTTCTAATGAGATCTTAGAAATTGCTCTTGAGGACTTCTGTAGGTGTTCACTGAACCCCGACAACAGCCCAACAAGGAAGTTACTGATGTCACTCCTGTCCAATAGATGAGGAACTTGAGACATAGACGTTATCAGTCCGAAACACATGGGTAGTGAACTATAATGCCACCTTGGGGTTCAGACACAACTTTTTGCTAAAACTATGTTCTCCACGGTGGCTAATTTTAGGTTCTAGTGGTTCCAAACTTCTGAGCACTGCAGGGTTCGGTGGACTTGAATGCAGGCCGCCAGCACTGTGGGTAGCTGTTTGGTGGGAAAATGGGCTTCAAGACCCCGCATGAAGAACTCAGGTCTGTCGCTAAACTACACAAGCCCCGTGGACACAGTACACACAGTATACTGTGTCAAGCCACTGAGCTGGTTTTGTTTGTTTGTTTCAAGTTTTGCTCCAGACTACTACGACTGGGGACAGCCGAGTAACAGCTCCCCGGCACAAGCAGGAACTTTGCAACAAGACTCCACTTTGGATCCAGACAAAGCCAGCCAAGGGTAGCACCAGGTGCCAGTCCTGTGGAAGAGTCCTCTGTTGAAAACCGCCAGCCAGACAGACGGGATGACAGCTGAGTTTTTAGGACACCTTTCCTTATGAAACAGGACTCAGTTTTTCTGCTATAGCTTTCTCATGGCTAGAATGGACTAAGCAATAGTTTAGAGCGATAAACCCTTACTTTAGTATTAGCAGAGAGCCTGGCTATTTCAGTGGGTATAATTTAAACTTAAAGAGATTCTGTACTTTTATAAAGATGTATTTTATATAACTTAAATACTAATGCTAAAGTATACTAGGTTTTTCCTTGATTGTTATTGTAATGTATGTTGTAGTTTGCACAGATTTTCATGCATAATTCACTTTAAAACGTATAGAATACGTGTTCTAATAGTTTAAAGCTTTTGGACAAAAGTTTCCTCAAGCCTTACCTCTGAAGGTCACTGTGATTGTGAGCTCCACATTGGTAGGCTCCTTTACCTGCCACTCCAGTGTTGAAAGTTACGAGGAAGCAGAGTGTCACGGTCTGCATGTCCATGGTAGTAGTTTCTCTTGAACTTTGCCCAGTCTGGTGCTGCTTCTTCCAAGAGCACTACTACAAGCACTCCAGTAACAAGTGGATACTGTCAAGATGTAGTTGCCGACACTACTCAGCCTCCTCGGCTGTGTGTGTAGCCATGTTGTATACTTTCCTTCAGCCCAGTGTAACTGAATACTCACTACCTCAGTAGGATGGCAAGATTGCCTTCCCTGACTCAGCCCGTGCTCCCTATAGTCAATGACAAGCCAAGAGGTCCCCACAGAGTGTTAACAATAAATATTTCTGGCCCTCGAGCTAAAGGACTGTGGACTCCCGACAGCTTCTCTGTAAAACATGCCTGTTATTTTAAAATAGTACTCTGTCTGTTGAAAGCTATGTGTATGAAAAAGTGGGTTCTGCCTGTGTGGTAGCAGGACCCCTGTCTCAGCCAGAGAGCGTTCCAGACAATGATCCCCATGTGCTATCTCAGGGCTCTGAGAACCAAATGGCCATCCCGGAGGCTGGTTGCTCTGGCTCCTCACAAAATGCATCATCTGGTCACCAGAGCCAAAAGACAAGTCTCGCTCACAGGCTCTGGCCCACTTCACACATTTCTGCTGTCCTAAGGTTTGGTAAAAACCCATCTTG